TTTTTTTTTTTTTTTTAAAAAAAAAGACCCAAAATCCCTTTTCTTTTTTTTTTTTTTTTTAAAAAAAAAAAAAAAAAAAAAGGCAAAAGTACCCAGGGAATTGTAGACTAGTAAGTATCACCTCAGTACTTGGGAAGCGTATCTGAAGGAAGGCCATTTTCAGGCATCTTGAGGAGGAAAGGCTGATCACAAGCACACACCATGGATTTATTAAGTAAAACACGTCAGACAAACTTGATCTCCTTCTTTGACAAAGTAACTTCTTGGGTGGATGAAGGGAATGCTGTAGATAAAGTTTATCTGGACATCAGCAAGGGTTTTGACAAGATCCCACATGATCTTATAAATTGGAGAAATGTGGGCTAGACAAAACTTAATTAAGAGTTGGATAGATAACTGGCTCAATAGCTGCAAGCGAAGGGTAATTATAAATGGATCCATCTCAGAATGGCAGGAGGTTGCAAGTGGAGTCCCATAAGGGTCTGTCCTAGGCTCAGTGCTGTTCAACACGTTTATTAACTCTGGGGAAGATCCAGGGAGCTACAGGACTGCAACAAGCAGTACAAAAGGGAAACAAGTACATCTAAATGCAAAATATGTCCAATGTACATGAGAAATATGGGGAATAAACAAGATGAGCTGGAAGCTACAACCTGTGGAAAAAAACTATGATTTGATTGGCATCACAGAGATCTATCTGGTAGAATAGCTCTTATGATTGGAATGTCAACATTGAGGGTTACAGTCTATTTTGGAAGGACAGGTTTGGGAGGAAAGGTGCTGGTGTTGCTTTCTATGTAAAAAACACATACAATTGTTCCCTGGTTCAGGAGGAAGACAGCAAAGCATAATGAATTTGGATGAAGATGAAAGGTGAAAGATGCAGCACCAATATAATGACAGGGATTTATTATAGGCCACTAAATCAGGAAGAGGAGGTGGATAATACATTCTTCAAGCAGGTGACAAATCTATCCAAAAGCGATGGGATGGTACTGATGGGAGACTTTAGTTTTCCAAACATCTGCTGTAAAAACAGGCAGCCAAATATAAAATGCCAAACTGGTTCCTAACTTTTGTGGAGGATAACTTTCTGTTCCAGAAAGTGGAGGATATGATACGGCGATTATTTGTCTTGGATTTTGTCCTGACCAAAGGGGAAGAACTGGTGGAGGATGTGAAGGTGAGGGGTAACATGGGAGGAAGCAATCGTGATACAGTAGAATTCCAGACCTTGAGATAGGGAAAGCATGAGGTCAGCAAAATTAGGATGTTTGATTTTAAAAAAGGCAGACTTCATCTGGTTCCAGTAGTTAATAGGCATGGTACCATGGGAAAACACACAGAAGGATGAAGGTGCCCCAGGAGGGCTGGGAACTTCTAAAGGGCGCAGTACTAGAAGCCCAACAAGAAACTGCCTGAGCATGATGGAAGCACAAGAAGAATGGCAGGAGACAAATGTGGCTGCATGAGGAGCTTCTCAAATGCAAAAGGAAAGGCAGTGGAAAAATGGGCAGGTCACCAAGGAAGCATACCACGAAATAGCAAGAACCTGCAGGGACATAATCAGGAAGGCAAAGATAAAGAATGAGCTGCACCTGGCAAAGGAGGTCAAGGACAACAAAAGGAAGTGTTGTAAGTATGTTGGCTATAAAAGAAGGACCAAAAAAGCTATGGGTCCTCTGTTAACGAGTTTGGGGAAATTCCTAACAGAAGATGCAATGAAGGTGGATCTACTCAACAGCTGCTAAGCCTCACCATGATACTTGGGAAGCTAGTGGAGCATATCCTAAGGAAAGCCATTTGCAAGCATCTGAAGGAGGAAAGGCTGATCGCAAGCAGCCGGCAAGGATTTATGAAAAATTGTGTCAAACAAGCTTGATCTCCTTCTTTGACAGAATTACTACTTGGGTGGATAAAATGAATGCTGTGGATTTAGTGTATCTGGATTACAGCAAGGCTTCTGACATGGTTCTTCTGCCTGACCTCATAAATAAACTGGAAAAATGTGGGCTGGACAAAACTGTTATAAGGTGGATAGATAACAGGCCCAATAGCTGCAAGAAGAGGGTAGATATTAATGGGTCCATGTCAGAATTGCAGAAGGTCTTGAGTGGAGTTCCATGGGAGTCTGTCCTAGGCCCAGTGCTGTTCAATGCATTTATTAATGATTTGTACACTGGCATAGAAAGCTTTGTGAGCCAGTTTTCAGATGACACGAAACTGGGAAGGATTATGAACATGTTGGAGGAAGGGAGCACAATTCAGATTGGAATGCCAGATTGGAAAGCTGGGCTGGACTAACAAAATGAAGTTGGGCACTTCACCTCTGGAAGAATAATCAAAAACAAATACAAAGTGGGTGACACCTGGCTGGATGACAGCACTGTGGAGAAGGATCGGAGAGTATCCATAGATCAGAGACTTGGTATGACTCTGTGTCATAACACCAGGCAAATGTAGTTTTGAGATGCATTAATAGAAGCATTTAGGTTCAAGACGTAGGAGGTGACAGTACCCCTGTACTCGTCACTGGTTAAGCACCATCTACAGTATTGTGTAATTCTGGACTCAACATTTTAAAAAGGACGTGGAGAATTTAGGGTCCAGAGGAGAATGACAATCCTCTAAAGGGCTTTTGTTATTATAACTGAGCTATGCTTTTGAAATATAATTGCATCCAGTGACATATTGCTAACAACCTTCCCTTAGGTTTGAAAGAGAAATTTGGTCTGTTTTGTCTGTCTGAATGGCAATTTCAAGCATGTTTAGATGCAGCTACAAGGAACACATGTTGAATTTACTGTGGGGACAAATTTCTGATTAGCCATCTTTTCCATGCATTTTGGGTATCCCAGTTCCATGAAGATGTGGACAAAATAGAGTCCATTGAGAAAAACAGAAATTATTAGAGGCCTGGGAAGCTTGATTTAGGAAGAAAAATTGAAAGAACTGGGATTATTTAGTCTGGAGAAAAGACTAAGGGAGATTTGGTAGTTATAAAGATGATGGGGTGGCTTTAAAAATAAAGGGAGGGAACGTGGGGGATTGCTGCTGGCTGTTTCTAGTGCTTGAGGCTGCAACGTACAGTAACATTTCAAACACAATGAAGAAAGGGATGGGGTAGGCAAGCAGGGGTAATGTTGACTTGCTTCCTGGAAGTTTAGCAAAATTTCCGGGTTTGGCCTGAACTGATGTTGGGGTTCAAGTTCAGGATTTGACAGTATGTCCTAACAATTCAAAATACCTTGGGTTCATTTCTCATATACTGTTAATAGATTTCTGATGAGAAAATCTTACATTAATCCTCTAGTTCACAAAAAAATCTGCTTTCGCAGACTAGTTATTTCAGCAGTTGATGGAGATATTGTTTGCATCATTGTTGATTTGTTTTCCCCAAGTCTATGCCATTATTTACAAATAATAGTGGCATTTTAAGTGGCTGTTACTTTGAAAATCAAAGTGTGTGAAATGCAAGGTGTCACATCAAAACAGTTTACATCAGTGTTTCCCAACCAGTGTGCCATGGCACAAAAGTGTGCCATCAGAAATGAACAGGTGTGCTGCAGAATTTTGCCATGGCAATGAGCTAGCTACAGTAGCTATGAGGATGGGGAAAGCCTGAACACGTGTGCCACAGAACATTTTTATTAGTGTAAGTGTGCCTTGATCTGGAAGAGGTTGGGAAACACTGCTTTATAGTATTCCATATACAGTAACAGTCAAATTGCATCCAACGTACCCTTTAGGTGTAAGGAGCAGCCTAGTTGAGTAGAACAAGATCCATTTGCAGACATCCTAGACTCTTGGTTTCCTTTGGTAGCAGATATAAAGGGAGGGGAATTTTCAGTTCAGACAGCATGACCTGCAAGCTGTATTAGACTATATTAGCGTATGATATCATTAGGTCCTGTGTTACTAGAACAGCCTGAAATTTGGTTGTCTACTAGCATCCTTCAGTAGATTCTCACTGCTAGAGATTTGCCAAACAACAACATAAGCGTAAGTGCATGTGTATACCATAGCAGCACAGATAGCACACACCCAATTTATTACTCATATGAATTCCTACAATCTACCATTTGCAGACCCCATAGTGTTAGTTGCAACAAGTAATAAATAACTACTTTTTTGTCTTACAGTCATTGTGATGCATGTAGATCACATAACCCACTGTTTTCCCAGTAGTTGCAAGTCTTACCCTGTTTTGCAATGGCAAAATAATGAATGACAGTAAAAGCTGCCATGCCCTTTATATCCTTAGGAGGGGGGAGCATAAGGGCATGCAAGGCATATGCATGACTCATAATAAACTTCTATGCAGAAAGGTGTGTATAGGCCCACCATGAGTGGGTTCCACAAGTAGAGTATCTTGAACAGTTCCTATAACATGACCTTTTTTTTATCTTTTTGCCTTGCTTATAGAATTCTAGCAGATATAGAATACTAGCAGATAATGCTGGCAGGTCAGTGAATTCAGAATTAGGCTTTGCTTGTTTGGACTTTAATGGGATAGTTTACAGTATAGTGAGAACATAAGCAAGTGTTTATGTGTTTGGACCTTAACTGTACATTTACATACTGGAATATGATTTGGTTTCTCATAATTGCTTCAGTTTATAATGTTTGGGGTATAAATGCCATGTGCTAAACTAGCAATCTTTACCCTTAATTTTAATTCTATTTTAGTTTGTCTGAAAAAGGTATATAATAGTCTAATGGCAAAATTTGAACAGTTTAATAAGCAGTTCAAACAAAGTAACATACTTCTGATATATAGCGTGTGTGTGTGTATATGTATATATATGTATATATAATAGTGGAACCCAAAGGCGTCAAGTCATAATTAAGAACGACTTGTCAGTGGTTGGCACAATTGAAACACTGGTAGAGAGACAACCCCTGCTTTGGCTAAGTTAAAATTTCAACATACAGGTTTATAAATTTAATCTTTAATGTTATTATTTTTATTTCAAGAAAATGAATTTTCTTGTTTTTAGATAAAACTATTAAATTATGGAAAATAAGTGAAAGGGATAAAAGAGCTGAAGGTTATAATTTGAAAGATGAAGATGGAAGACTTAGGGATCCATTCAGAATCACAGCACTACGGGTATGTTTGGCTCTTTCTTTAGTCTGACTTTAGTTAAATTTATTTTTTTGAATATACAGTTTTACCTTTGTACTTTTTAGAAGTGATACTTGCAGGACAAATTTACATGGATTAAAACATTTTATTAGGCACTTCATATTCATGCAAAAATTTTAAAGAATTAGATGAAAAGACGCTACTATATGTTCATTAATTCAGGTACAAAATAAAGCACTGCATAGTTGGTTCCAGAAGTTTAAACACCAGACTGTTTTATTGAATCATTTGCTATATTGTGAGTTATCTTGGATATTTTGTAAACAGGAATACAGTTTTTAAAATCTGCTTAATTTTTGTATACATATTTTCCTTTTACTCCTCAGAGTTTATGGGACAGTTAAATCAATTAAAATAGAATCTTATTTTTCAGAGGATAGGTTTTAATATAACAGACTCTTAAGTTATGGTTGAACCTAAACAGGAAAACACTTTAGTTTGTTTCTCTGAACAGGCCTGTTGTGTAATTGATCCATTTCCCAACATGATAGTGTAAACATTTTTTTTCCAGTGGTAATTGACACCTTTCTTTTTTAAGCTAATACAGAAAAACTGCTATGTTGGCCATCTCGGTTCACCTGTTTCTGAACTTAACTAGGCCCACTGGATTCGGTTAGACGTTGCTTCTTTCCTCTGCTCTGGTCTGTGAATATGGCAAAGATGGATCACTTCATTGTGTGGGGGTGGAGTTTAACTGTCCTCTGCATTGTTGATATATTGCTCTTAGTCTTGGAATAGGACTTAAATGATGGAAAGAGATTTACATCAAAGTAAATTTCTCTTTTAAATTCATCGGTTGTAATTGTTGTTTTTTTAAACTTTCCTTACTTAATCTCATCAAGAGTTAGGGTTCCTTGTTCATTTGTTTGTTTTTGAATTAAAAGAATGAGATTAATTTTTTACATAAAATTATAGGGGAGCACCAGTCCTATTGTAGTTGAGAATCTATTTCTGTTTAAAGATTGACGAGAACCAGGAAGTAGTTAAGGTAAAAACCCAATAAAACCTCAATTCTGTCTCCTTTAATGCAAAGTTGCTTTTCACTTATGCCACATTGTACTTGCATTCTGCCTCTGCGCTGTACTGACTAGGAGATGACCATCCTTATCACACAGTTGCATTTAGTCCATTCCATAAAAAGAATGTGTGTTAAATTTTATACTTGCTTTTCAAATCCAGTGTAATCAGTGTCATTACTTTCACTTATCCATCATTAAATCTACAGATCATAGTTATTTGACACTGAGCTGCTAGGAACTGCTAGCATCAGAAGCCCCCCAGCACCCCCCCCCCCCCACTACCTAGAGAATGCTTTGATGAAATGAGGCATTCTGGATCTCTCCAGGTGCACAGGCACCTCTGATCACAGAAAATGGGGATCAGGTTTGTGTCTCAGAAGGCGACAGCAGAGCAAGTCACTTCATCACAATTTGAGCCCTGCCAAACTTTTCCAGCTAATCTCTCCTATTCTATACAGCTGAATCTAATATCCTGAAAACACCTAGAATGCTTGTGAATAATGTATTGTCATTTCCAGGAGGACAGGGTAAATAAAGGCTGAATGGGCATGTGTCTCAATTCTTCATTTCCTGGTTTTTAGAAATTCACACTTTTTGGAACTCTGCTTTCTGGAAGGGCGTGAGAAAACCACAAGCAACCTTTACTTTGCTTTAATAGTTTTGTCATTGAGTATTGTTTTTCATTCATCTTGACTTTACCACTTTGTTTTACTGTAGTTTTCTCCTCTAAATTTATGTAATAAATTTTAAAATTTAACTAATGTAGTGAAAAGAACAAGGAAATTTTTAAATAAAAAAAGAAATAGGGAACCTTCAGAAGCGTCTTGTACATTTTTAAATTATCTTTGCTTTGACTTCCTATTTGGTGTGTAAAAAACAATTTGGCACTAATTAAGATAAAAAATCAATAGCTCATTATATGGGCATGGTCATTTTTATTTTATTTTTTAATTTATCATTTTTATTTCCATTTTCTAATAGTTCATTCTTTAATTATTGGGTGTACTTTCCTTTTTTTAAAACCAGATTTAAAGTGTATCTATTTTTCCTGTTGGTATGCAGACTAATACACTTTTGGACTTTCTATAGGGGAAACAGTATATAAACAAAATGTTACCAAATGCTGAAAGTAAACGCATTGAATTTCTTGTGCTAATTTCATTTCTGGATGTTACATGAAAATACATTTTTCAGGCATTAGTTTCAACTTGATAGCATCTATGTAAGTGCCTATCCCCTGATAAGGAAAGATGTAAGTGAATTTTTAATATGAATCTCTTACACAAAATATCATTCCTTTCAGTTCCATGTTCCTAATCCAGGATATGTGTTTTGAATGGTGATGTGGGAAGTCAGAGTAAGTGGACAACTAGTCTTACAGAATGCATTTGAAAAACAGCTAAAAACTGTGAATTCTTTCAGTAAAGAAAAGAAGAATCAGATGTCTGTATTTTAAAGCATTTTTACTAATAGCAAATATATTATGCGTTAAAATTAATGGATTCAACTAAAATTTTAAATGATGAGTTTTTTCCTTATATGTAAAAATAGACTATTCTTGTTTCTTTTCTCGTCTCTGTTTTAGGTGCCAATATTGAAACCCATGGACCTAATGGTAGAAGCAAGTCCCAGAAGGATATTTGCAAATGCACATACGTATCACATAAATTCTATTTCAGTAAATAGTGATCATGAAACGTACCTTTCTGCAGATGACCTAAGAATTAATCTATGGCATTTAGAAATCACAGATAGAAGTTTTAGTATCCTTTTTCTGTACGAATTTTTTAACCATGTGTTTGGAATATAATAGAAGCACTTCAATTTTAATAAACTCAGTAAGCCCCTGAATACCTGAATTCTAAGCATACAGTAAATTAATTCCTAAACTGTGCTTATTTATATCTGGAAGGAAAGCAAGCATCTGGGTTTGGCCTAGTTTGATTGGGACTGCAAGAGCATGAAGTTCTGGGACCATAGCTCTTAAATGTGTTTGATTTTTCATTACATGAACTTGATCATACATTTTTAAATAAAATTACATAAAGAATTTCAGGTTACAAAAGTCTGCTCCCACTTAGCTAAAACATTTCTGTCTAATAAGTTGTCTAATATGAAGATATTTAGAATGGTATATACCAGTGTTTCTTAACACTTACTATTGTAGTACTTTTTGCTGTGGCAGCAAGCCTTCCTATCTAAGACTGAAACAACTATTTGAGATTAATTTGATGAACTGTGTAGGGGGAAAGGAAAAGCTTATATGTGAAAAGGAAAGACCTTTTGAGATATAAAACAGCTATTTAGTCAGATAAACAGAGGAAGGATATTATTTAGCAAAGATGAGTGGGTTTTATTTAAATCAGTTTCAGTACAAGTGTACTTTGGTTTTATTGAGTAAAGATTCCAGAAGATGGAAGAGGGGAAAACACTGCTTTTCTAATCCATTGTACGGTTATTTGATGCCAAAGAATTCAAAATATTCAAAATACTTTTGACCCGCTTACTTTCATCATCTTATTTTTTTAAATTGGAAACGCACACTATAGTTTGGAGATCAGATGCTTTCAGCTAGAAATGCATTTATAATTTTGAGTTTCTTCTTTCAGCCTCAGTTCAACCTTTGGCAACTGCTATACCACATCTAGAGCTGTTCTAAGGCATACTATTTGGAACAGTCCAGAATCATTTTTATGCCACATGGGCCCTTTCACCTTGTATAAATGAGCACAGATAGGATCATACTCTAGGCTTCTCTAAAAACCTGGTATTTTTTTAAACACATTTTTGCCAATTATATTAGAAATAATTAAAGCATTAACTGCTATTTGCCTTTACCAGTAATTTTCAGATATTGTAGATATTAAGCCTGCCAATATGGAGGAACTAACAGAAGTGATTACTGCTGCAGAGTTCCACCCACATCACTGTAATGTGTTTGTCTACAGTAGTAGTAAAGGAACTATTCGACTCTGTGATATGCGTTCTTCAGCTCTCTGTGATAGGCATTCAAAATGTAAGTTACCTAGGATCTCTCTTTCCCTTGCAGACTGTTTTCAGTCAAGTAAATGTACATCTTTCTAGAAAATGTGTAGGTATTCTATGTACATAAACACAAAAATGTTTAGTTCTGCTTATTGGTAAGAACTTACAAGGTAAGGGGTGGTAGTTTTGTAGAATGGAACATTTTAATTGTCTTGTTCTAGGCCATCACCAAGCAGAAGTGTAGCATGAGGCAATTGACGGTGTGACTCTGCTCCTGTTTACCCATTTATGCAGCATAAACTGATGGGAACAAGTGCTTTTGGCACCAGTGAGACCTGTCTTCTGTCCAGACTCAGTCTTGGTGCTTCTCAAAGGTATCTGCTTAACAAATGCCAGTTCAGGGCAGTTTATTGACATCTACCTTTGTGCATTAGGAACTGGGCTGAGGCTGCCAGAACCCATTTTGTTTGTTAACATTTATTGCTACTGAAATTAAATTTCTTCATAAAGGTATGTGCTGGGTTTGAAGCCAGTTCCCAGAGGTGAAAGGCCAGTGTTTTAAATCTGCTGAGCCACATAGCCTCATATAGGTGAGGAAAGCTCTTATTTTTCAGTCACAAGGAATAAGGCCTATCTTTACACCCAGCCTGCTATTGCTTAGTTAGTAATGTATAAAATATAACAGCATTAATATTATGTCAGGTAAGCTTATAGTCAATAATGATGAGGGTTTTTGAATGTTGAAGGAAAATATTTATACACTGTCAAATTTGATACTGTACAGTTACTTTTTAGACAACTTTGACATTTTGTATTACAAAGACTATGGCCAGTCTTTACTACTCATATTTATCATCTTTATAAAAATGTCAGCAGTCTACAGCATTTTATTTCTGTTTCTTTGATTTTGGATGGCTCCTTATATCACGAGGAAATTTGAATATGATTTTCAATATAACTAGGTAGTATGGTTCAAGAAAGGAGGCAAAAATATGTATATACAATTAAGGCACTAATACTTCTGTTTCAATAGATTGTCTTGTGCAAGTCATAGTCCCATATAAACTTGTACCCTGCAGCAGTGGTTCTCAGTCTTTTGATCCCAGGTTTATCTACTCCATCCCTACCCTCACATCTGCCACCCTACAACCTGCCTACTCCAGACCTGCATAACCCTGCAGCTTCATACTCTCAGGGTCTTATACCCTTTTGCCAGCATTCTGCAGAGAAACCTGAGCAAGCTCTACTTACATGAGCTCTGGGAAATAATAGCAGGCATAAACAGACTCTGCCTTAGCTAAGTGAGCTGGCCTGTCACCAGAGCTGCTGGGCTTGCCTGAAGTGCTGTGTGAAGATGGATTTGCTGATTCCCATTTTGGATGTAGTACATGCAGAGCAGCTTGATTTCAGTGTAATAATGTCTGCCACTGAACATTGGGAGGGGCAGCTGACCCAGCCCTTATATCTGCTCTTGTGGCCTACTCCTAGCACCTTTACAGACCACTAGGTGAAACACACTACAGTATCCCAAAAGTAGCAGGATACATAGTATTTTTTTTTTTGCTGATGCTAATTTCTCTTGCTGTTTCTCATTAAAAAAAGCTGTTCAAGTATGTGATAAAGGCCCAGAATAATTGGTGGGCACATTGAGAATTAGTTTATTTTTGTTTTTGTATGTACTACTTTTTCCCATTGTGATTTTTTTATCCCTGCACACTAATAGCTGTAACTTCTTGAATGCTGTACCTTAATGGAAAACATATTTGACCTTAACCTCTAGTGATTCAAGTCTACTAAAGCCCTAGTATTCTCTTTTTGAGACAGAGATCACACACAAAAAACACCACAATTTATAACGTTTTTAAGGGAATTTAATGCCACAGTTTTAATATATGTAAGTGCTGAACAGGGCTAGCTTCCTTGGAAGGTTAGTATGTTACTTTCAGTTTTATTTTCTGTCTTAATCTACAGTTTTTGAAGAGCCTGAAGATCCCAGCAGCAGGTCATTCTTTTCAGAAATCATTTCATCAATATCTGATGTAAAATTCAGCCACAGTGGTCGATATATGATGACACGAGACTACCTTTCGGTTAAAGTATGGGATCTCAATATGGAGAACAGGCCTGTAGAGACATATCAAGTATGATCTTCAGATATGTATGTGTATATATATAAATGCATCTCTTAATTTTCTTTAGATCTATCTAACATCATCTTCTGTTTCCAGGTTCATGAATATCTTCGAAGCAAGCTTTGTTCCTTGTATGAAAATGACTGCATTTTTGACAAGTTTGAATGCTGCTGGAATGGTTCTGATAGGTAAAGTTGAGTTTGAACTGATCTTAAGTTCATAGTCCTAGCTTAGCACGTGACTAATATTTAACAGTGAATGGACTTTGTGGGATGCCTTAATTTTGCATGTGCTCAAACCTCAGTTAACTAAGTGGTAATTACATATGACCCTTAATGGACTCTATTAGCATTGCAGTTGCATACAAACAAGCATTTTTTTGTTTTATTCAAACTATTTGAGAATGTTTTCCAGATTTGCTTTTAAATAAGCGCACAGTATTTTGAGAGTTCAGATTTTATTTCTGAGCTCTCTAGTAGTTTCCATCCCCAATTGTGTTAATGTTGACCAATATAAAATAGAAAAATAGGGAGCTGACTAACGCATTGTTAATCTTCTAGCTTTTCTTATAATTTATATAAATGTCTTGTATGTAAATGTGGTCAAAACAATGTAACTTGATAGCAGGATCACTTTTGAGGGTTTTTTTGGGTATCCTAGAAATGCTCCCCTGAGGTCAGGCAAGATGTCCATCTCTGGTGGCATGGGGAGAATGCCCATATCTTAGTGCCATCAAAGCCTGACATCTGCAGGCCAGATTCAAAGTTCCTGCAGATCAGATCCAGCCATACATTGCTGACCCTGACTTAGGCTGTTGCCTGTGAAAGCTTATGCCTCTCTCAGCTATTAGTTTAAGGTGCCATCCTGCCCTACTTTCTACCCCAGGATAGGTAAAAATATGAGACCTACCACAAGAGGATATGAAGGAGAATCAAGGGGCAGCTGTGACAGAGTTTATTATATTGCTCGTATAAAAACCTCACTTGGAATGCTAATAATATAACTGGCTTTCAACAAATCCCAAAAAGTGTGATGTTCGTCTGATGTCGGTCTCTTTTGTTGTTTTTGCTAATACAAGAATTGAGCAATATAGGGCAGTTTTATAAGTTGTAAAATTATCTGAAGTTTGTAATGCTTAACAAAGTAATGTGAAACAATTTGTGGCTGTTTCCCCCCATAAAAGTCTTTTTCCATTTTCTGTACCATTCCCCATACAATCAAATAAAGAGGGTTTTGATGCTGAAAAGAGTGGATTTGATTTAAATCAAATCAGTTTAAATCATGATTTAAGTCACTGATTAGGAAGCCTCAATTTAATCATTGTTTTTTACAAACAGTGCATTCTTGTTGTTTGATATCCTTTATCCGTTTAACTTCTTGAAACTGCACTTTACAGAGGTAAGGGCTGTGTGTACACAAACTTGCAGAGACACAATAGGGCTGATGGGTGGGTAATCATGTCTATTATTTCTCATCTCCATATACTGCTGTTAGTAAGGATGTTATCTGGAGACGACAAACTTTCCGTATGCCTGAAGGAGGGTGTTTGTGACTGAAAGCTTGCAAAGAACAATTTTTCCAACTATTTAGTTGGTCTAATAACATATCACATCTTCCCAAAGAACCATGTCTGCCTGTAATCTCTGGAGACACAAATCTACAGTTTGAGAACAGAAACTAAGCATCAGAGAGATGTTTAATGGGTTCTGAGCACTGAGTCCCATTGGTGGATTGGTTTTCTTTATTTTTTACTAATTTATAGAGGAGCCCTCTGGGAACGCCATACGATTGGGGCCCTAATATAGTCCATGGTCTGTTATGACCTCTTCATAAAACTTCTAAAAAGGTTCCATGGATGTATTTTCTCAAATAGAGATTATAACTTCTAATTATATACTATTCCATGATGATTTCTTTGAGCTTTAACGTATCTTAAATTAAAACTATCTTTTATATAAGTCTATTTTTTTAAATCATGTTAACAAAAAAAAATAAAAAATACGATTCAAGTAAAAAAACTGATATTTTTAATTGTTGATTTTTATCAACCCTGATGCTGAATTTATTTTCTACAGCTCCCAAATTTTAGAATGACTGTGGTGCAAATATTTTGTATCTGTAATAACTTACAGAAACTCTTCAGGAGAAATGGGGGTTTTGGCAACAATTGGGCCTTTTGGCACCTGAGAACTGGCAGTGGTCACACCTTCATCTGACTGTCACCTCTAGGCTGGTCTGGAAGGGTGGGCCAGAAAGGCCTTCAGAGAGAGGGATGTGTGTTGAAAAGGGAAGGTGTGAGGTGCAAGGATACATAAAATAGTGGGTGGGAGGAGAGAGCACTGGGAAGAACAATGGCAAATTAAGCCATAATGATGATCAGAGTTTACTGTACAAGCAAAGGGATTTGCTTATAAGGTCTGTAGGCACAGACTAAGGTAGACAGCTGAAAACAGCTTTCCATAGGGTCAGATATATCTTCTCTCTGTTAAAATCTAATGAATCAAATAATAAGCATTAATGATTTGAAA